CAACAGTGGGAGGGCTTCTGGTGTCCTGGCCCCACTGCTGGACCTCCTGAGGGCCCCTGGTGTTTTTGGCCACTGTGTGACAGACAGAGTGTTGGACTGGAGTGGCCACTGGCCTGATCCAGCATTTGGCTTCTCTTATGTTCTTATGTCTGGGGCAAGGGATGCACTGTATTCTGGGTGCTTGGGAGGGGGGGGGGCAACAGTGGGAGGGCTCCTAGTGCCCTGGCCCCACTGCTGGACCTCCTGAGGGCACCTGGTGTTTTTGGCCTCCATGTGACACAGAGTGTTGGACTGGAGGGACCACTGGCCTGATCCAACATTTGGCTTCTCTCATGTTCTTTTGTCTGGGGCAAGGGATGCTCTGTATTCTTGGTGCTTGGGCGGGGGGCAACAGTGGGAGGGGCTCCTAGAGTCCTGGCCCCACTGCTGGACCTCCTGAGGGCCCCTGGTGTTTTTGGCCACTGTGTGACAGAGTGTTGGACTGGAGGGGCCACTGGCCTGATCCAGCATTTGGCTTCTCTTATGTTCTTATGTCTGGGGCAAGGAATGCTCTGTCTTCTTGGTGCTTGGGGGGGGGGCAACGGTGGGAGGGGCTTCTAGTGCCCTGGCCCCACTGCTGGACCTCCTGAGGGCCCCTGGTGTTTTTGACCACTGTGTGAGACAGAGTGTTGGGCTGGAGGGGCCACTGGCCTGACCCAGCATTTGGCTTCTCTTATGTTCTTGTGCTCATCCTCTAAGGCAAAAGTAATGTACAGAGTTGTCAGTACCAGAAGACCACAGCACTTAACAGAGTCCTGAAACATAGGAAACCAAACCAAAGATTCCAACTGTAGAGGCTACTTACTACAGGAATTAAAAGTATCATAGGTTTAGCAGGGGACTGAGGCTCAGTCCAGGGATTTATTCCACGACAGTTCCCCCCCCCCCCGAGAACTGTGGTTAACTCCCATGTTCTGTAGCTTCCCTTTCACTTGTGTGACCTGCTTTTCCAAAAGGCTGTTGCAGAGCTGGAGACGGTACAGAGGGGGGCAGCCAAGATGATGAAGGAGGGACTGAAGCCCATTTCCCACATGCAACCAGGCTGAAGATTCTGGGGCTTTTCGCCCTGGAGTAAAAATGGAGATGGCCATGGCAGGGGTTTATAAAATTACATGCGGGGTGGAGCAAGTGGATAGAGGCATTGTTCCCCCCCCCCCTCCTTTCTCTCCAATAATACCAGAATTCAGGGTCACCCAGTGAAATTGATGGGCAATAGGCTCAGGACAAACATAAGGAAATATCTCTTCACCCAGCAAGTAATCACATGGAGGAAATCATGGCCTGTGGATGTGCTGATGGCAAGGGCAAGCCTCTGCATTCCAAGGCAGTCAGCTTCCGGATCCCAGTGGCAGGAGGAAAGAAGGCCGTCTCCTCTGCCCTGTTCGCTGGCCCTCAGGGGCCACTTGTTGGCTGCTGGAATTGGTGCCTCCCTGCTGTTTCCTCTTGGCCACGGGGTGAAACAGGATGCTGGGCTTGATGGACAGCTGGTGGGATCCATTAAGGCCCTTCTTGTGGTCAGTCTGTCTGCAACTACTGGTTTTAATTTGAATGTGTGGGGGAACCCAGGCTTTTAACTTGAACTGTGATACCTGGTCTTTTCACTTTGTGTCGTGACTGGCCAAAAAGGGAAGAAAAGCTGGAATTGTTTGTTCACTTTATGTCTATCATAATCTTTTTTGAAAACGGTTTGATTAATGTTTTCTGTCCTTGCCTCCTTGTCCTATAGGGTTTACCTGGGGAATGGTTATTGAAGACTTTGTGTGTGAACTGCAGCAGTCAGGAGATGGGATTTGGCATGCCTGAGTTTGGCCGTGATTCAAAGCAGATGATCCTTCTAGAAACTGACTTTGAGGTATGCAGAGGAAGAACCTAGCAGGGTCTCCTATGCAGCAGAAATGGGAAGATGGGATGGTGGCCGGCCACGTCACGTTTTAATGATTACAGTATAACAATATGGGAGCCTGAGAACTGTGCTGGATCCAACCCAGTGGCCCACCTAGTACAGCACCCTGTTTCTCACAGAGGCCAATCAGACCCACCCCCCCACACACCCTGAGGGTCACAGAAACCTGTTGTGCCCCCCCACAATCAACTGCCTCTGGCCATTGATGTTCCATTTCACCATCATAAATGACAATAGCTATTGATGCATCTGTCCTCCATGATTTCATTTAACCTACCTTGAAAGCCAGTTATACTTGTGGCTGTCGCGGGCCGCAGGTCCTAAAAATTTAGTTGCGTGGTATGTGAAGAATCCCTGTCTTTTGTCTGTCTTTAATCTACTGGCCAGTGACTTCATTGGGTGCCTTGGTTTCCCAGTATCTCTCCACCGTATGCATAATTTTATAATGCATAATTTTATATCATGGCCTCTTGAAGTTGTCTGGCTCTTCCTACTCTGAAAACGCTCAGACATTTTCTTTGTGCAGAAGGTGCCACAGCTCCTTGATCATCTCATCTGCCCTTTTCTGTATTTTGTCTTATCTCCATCCCATCGTTCTTGAGATGGGATGGCCAAAACTGTATACACTATATAGCGCCACAGGGCAGTGTCAGGTGTTACAATATGTGCCAGTTTATTTTCCCTGCTCGCCCTAAGAATCCCTGTCACGGGGGCATCAGCACCTCTGTTTGACTCACTTCTTCAGGCAGATCCCCCGAGACTTGGGCACGTAGATGGCAAGGAATTAACACCTTTCCTCCCTGACAAGTCCCTCGCATGGCTTCTCATGACCCTGGGTCTGTGGCATGTCAGCGGTCCATTCCATTGGAACTGGACCAGGAGACCCCTTTTGAACTCCGGGTTTGGCAGTGCAGACTGTGCAGTTTGGTGTAGTGGTTAGGAGCACGGACTCTAATCTGGGAGAATGGGGTTTGATTTCCCACTCCTCCACATGCAGCTGCTGGTGTGACCTTGGGTCAGTCACAAGTTCTTTCAGAGCTGTTCTCTCGGGAGCAGTTCTTGAGAGAACTCTCTCAGGCCCACCTCCCAGCTGCTCTGAGACTCCTTCAGGTAGTGAAGGGCGTGGTATAAATCCAGTCTCCTCCTCCCTCTTCCTTCTTGTGCTGCTGGAAGGAGTAGGCCTCTTAATTGGCATTTATTCTAATTGGAAAATTTTGTATACCGTCCCCACTTTTTGATTGGTGTCCTCACCTTCTGCCTTTTCCACTTGTGCCCCTCCAGTGAAGAGGGCAAGAGGTGGTGTTTTGTCAGCCTTCCACACTGAGCACCACCTTTCGGAAAGGGCCTAAGCACAGCCGGTATTGGGAACTTTGTCTTATGTTTTTGTTTAACTCCTGTATCTCTCCCTTCATCTCCTTCCGTGCACAAGTCTGGTTGAAATAATAAGTTTAAATTTGGGGTAAGAACACCCGGAGAGAAGTCATTGCTAAATAGCTCACCACGGACTCTGCTGGCTTGGTTAGGAACACCGTCGGAATTTTTTCCTGGCGGAGACAGGAACAGAGGAGAGAGATTCTCCTTCCTAGTTTGACCCCGGTCTGGGGAGCAGTTTCTCAGAATAGTTCAGGGCACCGTGCATTCGTTTTCTGTGACGGTGGCAAGTGACTGTTGAGTGAAGATCCAGAGAGGGAGAGAGAGGGAGGGAGGTTATGTAATGAAAAGTGTTCCTGGCACTCTGTGCCATTATGCAGGGCTGACGCTCAGAGAGGCTTGTGCCTGATCCAGAGATGAAATTTCAGCCGGGGTCCTCCCGGGGTCACGCCTCATGTGCCTTTTTCCGTGGCAGTCTCAAGGAGGAGGCCTCTTTGGTTCATTTCTGCCTTCTGAATGGGCAGGAGGGAGCCCTGGCTGAATGTCCTCTGCATGCAGTCTCATGCCGGTTTCCTTGGCAACAAATAAACTTTCCTTTGCAGTGCTCAAGATGTGTGTTCTTGCATTTTCACATGACTCTGCCAACTTCCCTGACACAAAGGAAGCGGCTTCACCCTTCTTTTGCCACCGCGTCCGTCCCTGAGGTGGAGTGCCAGCCCAAGGACGCCGCCATCCTGGAAGCGAGCCCTACTGAACAGACTTGAGTAGGGTTCTTCTGAGCAGACCTGCTTAGGACTGCTGTCTTCTTTAGCTAAATTATCACGGCTGCAGTCCTGTGGATGCTTAGCGGAGGGAACATCCCAGTCCAGTCAGCAGGATTGACTTCCGAGTAAATGAGCACTGGCTGGAGCGGAAGGCATCTGGATGTTTTCACTCAGGCGGTGTAGTCTGCATGTGACAGCTTCTGTGGCTGCCCGGGGACCCTGGCTTCCGGCTTGGGTTTGCATTGTGACTCTGGTTGTGCCTGGTGCAGAGTCTTCTGCTGATGAATTCAGACATAAATGCCTCCTGCTGCATTAGAGGCCTGAGTTCATTTGGTAGTAATGATGTTTTTGTGTTTTTTAATTCCTCAGGGAAGAACTTGAGACACTTTGAATTAGATGGCCGTCCCTCTGAAGGCGGAGTGTTGCAGGGGTTGGAATCTAAAGGGCCTCTGGTGAACATCCCAGTTTTGAAAACAACATTTCTACAAGGGGTAGGACCTCCCAATTTCTTATTTTGAGGCTAAATTTTAAATGTATAGAAGCATTAGAGATGTAAAATTTCCATAAGTTTGAAGTCCAGCTGGAGAAAACAGAAATTTCAGGTAAAATTTAAATGTATGCGATACTTAATATCCTGTCAAACCTAAACTTATTTTTCCTGCTTTAACGTCGTAAAATACATCATTTATAACTTAGTTACCATGTAAAATTGTACTAATTGGTATATTTTATGGATTTTAATACTGTAAATGGCTTGTTTTTGTGTAAGCAGAATTGCAGATATACCAAATGGTTACAAATGCAAGAGCCCTGCTGGATCGTACTAGTGATCCATCTAGACCAGCATCCTGTTTAACACAGTGGCCAACCAGTTGTCCTGGAGGACCAAACAAACGGGCAGAGAGGCCGAGGCCTTCCCGCATTCTGCTTCCCAGCTTTACAGCTCTTGACCGTATAACTTTAGCTTGTTATTTAGTTCTGTCTGTCTTCATCATACTATATGTTAATTTGCTGTGCAGCCCTTGTCTATAAGTTTGAACCTTACCTACCATTCCAATGTATTTGAAAAAGTGTGCATGCACACAAAAGCTCATCCCTTGAATAAAACTTTGTTGGCCTTAAAGGTGCCCCACTGGACTCTAAATTTGTTCTTCCCAGCCCACTGTAACTTAGGGGTTTGTTGCTCCTGAATATGAAGGTTCCCCCCCCCCCTTAGCCGCCACCGTGGCTGGTAGCCCTTGATGGCCTTCTCCACGAATGAATCTGTCAGGTCTCTCCTCTTAAAGCCATTTATGTGCACGGCTCTGTAATCACATCCACTGTCAGTAAATCCTGCATTTTTATCACTCATTGAGTAAAAGTACCTCCTTTTCTGTGTCCTCAGAGTCTGTTGCCCATTGACTTCATTGGGTGCCTCCAAGTTGTAGAGTTATGGAAGAAGGAGAAAAAGCTTTCTCTATCCACTTCCTTCATCTCATGCATAATTTTATAAACCTCTGTATTTTCTTCACTTGGTAGACTTTTTCCCCCTAAATGGAAAGCCCCAAACTCTCTAGCCCCGGGGTGTCAAACTCATTTGTTATGAGGGCCGGATGGGACATCAATGAGACCTTGTTGGGCTGGGCCATACGTGTCATGAAACGTAATGCCAGGTAGCGCAGATATAAATTTTATAAAGGCTACAAACACAAACATTCTTAAAACAGCACTCTTGCAATATTTTGTTTATTCAACAGTGTCTGATTAGGGGTGTGCATTCAGCTGTAGCCGAACCGAAAAAATGCCTGAAAAATATCTTGTTGGTATTTTTCAGGTATCACATAAGCCAAATACAGATCACAGTTCTGTATTGGCTACCGGTATAGCTGAACCCAAGAAAGCCACTATTATCCAGCTTTTTTCAGGTTCATTTTGCTAGGTCTCATTAAACCTAACAGCGGGCTCAGCCGTCAGTCAGCTGTTGGGTTTAAATGCCTTTCTTTCCCTCCCCGATGTTGGGGGTGGGGGAAAGAAAGGCATGGTAAACATGCCTGCTTCCCTTCCTGATCTTCTCCAGGCGCCCCACGGCTGCAGGGTGCCTGGAGAAGATCAGGAAGGGAAGCAGGCATGTTTGCCAGGCTGGCCTCCGTCTCCCCAGCCTGTGTGCCTTGGCAGGCTGGCTGGGAAGACTGAGGGCAGCCAGGCAAACATCCCCCCTTCCTTCCCTGGGCCTCTCCAATTTCTTTCCCTCCTCGATCTCCCTCCCCGATGTTTAAATGCCTTTCTTTTGATTGGCGGGCGGGCTAGGGAAGGTGGGGGGGTACTCTTCAGGCCTACCCCATCTTGCCCGCTTCGGCCGGTGGACTGCTCCTTCCAGGGCCTTCCCTGGCTCACCTGCCTCAGTGGGCGGGCCAGGGAAGGCGGGGGGGGCTAGCTCGGGGGCGGCAGTGGGCTCTAGGTGTTAATCACTCTTTGGGTGAAGAAGGATTTCCTTTTATCCATTCTAACCCGACCGCTCAGCACCTAGAGAGCCAGTTTGGTGTAGTGGTTAAGTGCGTGGACTCTAATCTGGGAGAACCGGGTTTGAGTCCCCACTCCTCCACTTGCACCTGCTGATGTGACCTTGGGTCAGTCACAAGCTCTGGCGCAGCTGTCCTTGGAAAAGAGCAGTTTCTGTCAGAGTTCTCTCAGCCCCACCCACCTCGCAGGGTGTCTGTTTTCCCATCACTGAAGGGAAGGCAAATTGTCTTCCCTTCAATGAAGGGAGGGTGCCGCCTCTGTGGCATGACTCCAGGGGGGATTTAAATATTCCCTTTATTGAAGGGAAGGCAATTTGCCTTCCCTTCAGTGATAGCAAATCCCCCTCAAGGGGGGGAATTATTATACCCTATGGGGACAATCCAAATAAATTCGGCTAGTCTGATAATTCCCGAACCCTAGTATCATACCGATACTGGAATTCGGGAATATCAGCAAATACCAACATTTTTTGGGTTCAGTAGTTCTGAACCCAAAAAATTCCGAATTTTTTTTTGGTGCACACCCCTAGTAGTCTCAGGCTCTTCAGCCTTTCCTCCTAGGGAAGGTGCTCTAACCACCTAATCATTTTGGTTGTCCTCTTTTGTATTTTTTCGAGCTCTGCAGTGTCCTTTTGGAGGTAAGGGGACTAGAACTGTACCCAGTGTTCCAGATGAGCCTGCACCATAGATTTGTACAAGGGCATTACAATATCGGCTGTTTTATTCTCAGTCACTTTCCTAATAATCCTTAAGATAGAGTTCGCCTGTTTCAATGGGTTGACACTTTCATTGAGCTATCCACTACGACCCCATCTTTCCCCTCTCAGTCTCAGTAAGTTTGGTATTGTCTGGACATGACAGTTCCAGCCTTGGCTGTTATAGATCGTTCTAATTGACAAGCATCTCCTCCTTGAACCTGTTCTGTCTTGTGTGCTTTCATAGCATGTTGTCCTGAACCTACCGCTAGTCAGTTTCTTGGCTGGTCAGATATTAATGCTTCGACAGACAGCAGAAACACCTCCTTGTTAATTCTGTTCATGTTGGCCAGAATTTTCTCAAGCGGTGTTCTGTTTGTAATCAGGGTTTCATTTTCAGCCCTCTAAGCTTTTTGGGGTGGTGGAGCTGCTTCATTTTCCGTCTTTGAAGGGAGGGTGTCTGTGCACCGCTGGTGCTCCAGGGCAGGGCTTTCATCTGAAACCTTGGAAATTCATTCTGTTTGGGGTGCGAGGCTGATTCCCAGTAAATGCCCTGCCTGTTCCGTAGAAGAAGCATCCTGGGCAGAGCTTTTCTGTCCCAATGACCATTTGAACACTCTTGGAGGACATAAGGGGCATGGTAAAATAAAATCAAGAGACCGCCTGCTTTGACTTCTTCTGTGCTCTCTTTTACACAGAACTGTATACAGTTCTGGTCACCACACCTCAAAAAGGACATTATAGCATTGGAAAAAGTGCAGAAAAGGGCAACTAGAATGATCAAAGGGTTGGAACACTTTCCCTATGAGGAAAGGTTAAAGCGCTTGGGGCTCTTTAGCTTGGAGAAAATTTGGCTGAGGGGTGACATGATTGAGGTTTATAAGATTATGCATGGGATAGAGCAGGTAGAGAAAGAAGTACTTTTCTCTCTTTCTCACAATACAAGAACTTGTGGGCACTCCATGAAATTGCTGAGCAGTCGGGTTAGAACAGATAAAAGGAAGTACATCTTCATCCAAAGAGTGATGAACACATGGAATTCACTGCCACAGGAAGTGGTGGCGGCTACAAGCATGGACGGCTTCAAGAGGGAATTAGATAAGCATATGGAGCAGAGGTGGCTCTTAGCCACAAGGTATAGAGAGGGACTCTCAGTCTGGGGCAGGGGATGCTCTGTATTCTTGGTACTTGGGGGAGCAACAGTGGGAGGGGCTTCTGGCCCCACTACTGGCCCTCCTGATGGCCCCTGGTGTTTTTGGCCACTGTGTGACACAGAGTGTTGGGCTGGATGGGCCATTGGCTGGATCCAACGCTGGCTTCTCTTATGTTTGGCTGCCACAGAAATGAAATGACCGCAGTTCCCTAGGAGATGTGTCTTTTAGACAGCCTTCGGGGGGTGGGGGGGATGGAGGTGTGTCAGCCATCCTCAAATGGCCTCGCCAGAGTGTGCGCACTGCCCGGATGGGGGACCGGCACCATTCTTTCTTGGCGCCCCCCACCCTTTAGATTTGGCCGCCCACCCCAGCAGCAGGTGGTTCTCTCTGGCAGCAGAATGTGGTGGGCTGTCCCATCCTCACCTTTCAAGGCCAAGGTCACAAGCTCTGGACGGTCCCTAAGGCTCCAGGACGGAGCTCACTTGGTTTGAGGGGGCTCCCTGGGGTGGCGAGGCCATCCCAGGAGGACCAAGGACAGCTTTGTACAAATGACGCCCAGTCACACTCTTTACATCCCAGGGTGTGCCTGGAGAAAGAAGGCGGTCGTAGAGGAGATCTGGGCACATTTAAAGCAGGAGGAGTGAGGGAAGTGCAACCACAATGGGGGGGTCTCTTCGTGCCCTTCTGCTCTTCCCTTCCCATCCTGTCCATTATGGTCCCAATCCATCCAAGACAGGTGGCTATAATCGCGTCAGTCAAGGCGACCTTCAGCCTTGCTGGCCTCCCCCTCCCCTTTGAGGCAGATGCATGCCTTTGTTCAGGCCTGGAGAAAAGGGGCCATCGTTTCCTCTTGCTTCGTGCCATCGCAGCCCATTGCCCAGCTCAGCACTACAGTCAACGCCTCCCTCTCCAGGATCTTTCTTCCAGAAGAATGTGGGTGGCAGCCGATTCAGAGGTTGACTGCCTGTGAACGTGGAAGTTCCATTCAGTCATCATGACGAATAGCAATTCTCCATCAATATATTTGTGTTTTATGGCCTTTTGTGCCCATGGCAGTGAATTCCATAGTTGAGCAAAGACATATTTCCTTTTTCTCCCCTGCATCTATTGCCCATCAGCTCCATTGTGTGCTGCTGAGTTCTAGTATTTTGGGAGTAGGAAGAAAAGCTCTGTCTCCTTTCTGTCCCACATGTAATTGTATAACCCCGTATCATGTTGCCCCTTAGCTGTCTTTCCCCCCTAAACCGGAAGGTCCCGGGCTCCCTGTACCTCATAGGGAAGGTGCTCTAACCCCTTGACCCTCTTAGGTAGTGTGTCTCATTCTGCTCCCACTTAGTTTGTCATGGTGGTGGTGGTGGTGGTGGTGGTGGGGAGTGAATGCCGAGGGTGGGAATCGGGCTATCCGTAGAATCCGCCACGTTTCCTGAAGAAGCCTTCCTCCCAGAGGGACGTCCTTGAAGTCTTCCGTGCCAGCTTGCTAGGGTAGACCGTGGGGTGGTGTATTTCCCAGAGAGGGCGTGGGCAGAGAACGCAGCAGCTAGGCGGGATGTGTGCAACGTGTGCTTTGGTTATTCAGGTCAAGGGGGTCCTTTGCACTGTTCGTAATCTGTTGGCAGTTTTTTCTGCAAATGGGTTCCATTCCAGTGCTACAGTAACACCCCAAACAAGAAAAAGCTGGCTATTTCTGCCTGTGTGTCTTCTCTGTTTGGGGGAACAATAGAAAAGAAAAAAAAAGGTCATGGGGGTCCTGTTCTAATTACCTGTAACTATCTGTACCCGCCAAAACTCTCAGTCCTGACACAGTACTGTTCTGGTCTGGATCATGTCTGTTTCCCAATAAACAAATCATTGCTAAAGAGAGTGTTGTTGAGAGTAACTTATCCAGGAGCCTGACGGGTCTCCTCTTCTGTACTTTTCTGCTTGACCAGCCTAAAAGTCCCTCCTGCTAGGACTTTGGGTGCGGGCACCCCCCCCCCCGGAGTTAGAAATAAGCAGCGCGCCTCTCTCTCTCTCTCTCTCTCTCTCTCTCTCACACACACACACACACACACACACACACACCTTAAACCTTACACAGCTCAAGAACCAAGCAAGAAGAAGAGACGAGATTGGATTTATACCCCTTGCCCTTCACTACCCAAAGGTGTCTCAGAGCGGCTTACAATCTCCTTTCCCTTCCCCTCCCCACAACAGACACCCTGTGAGGTGGGTGGGGCTGAGAGAGCTCTTGACAGAAACTGCTCTTTTTCAAGGACAGCTCTTATCAGAACTACGCCTTGCCTAAGGTCATCCAGCCACGTGCCAGTGGAGGAGGAGCAGGGAGACAAACCCGGTTCTCCCAGATCAGAGTCTGCGCACTTCACCACGACACCAAACTTGATCTTACTCCTTATCTTAATTACTTATCTGCTTACTCCTTTTCCTCATGTACCTATTCCAGGTAAAACTCTCCTGCTTGCACGGCCTCATGCTTCTGGTTGCACACTAGGCAGACGGAGCCTCTCCAAAGCAGAGGGCAGCCTCAGTTCCATCTGTGCTCACTGAAGAGATCTGTGGGGCATCGACTTGGGAATCTGCCTCCTTTATGAGGCACTGTGGATTAGAGACATACACTCTTCACTCAGGCGTGGGCTCTATTAGTCGAGAGTGTTTTTAGCAGTATACTCCTCCAGTACTTGCTTTTTTAAAAAATATTTTTTTATTTTATTAAAAGATGAGTCAAGTATACATAAATAAACCCATTATGTCTCAACATTACTGCATGAACATTAATACAAGCTGTGAGTGCAGATCCATGCATCACAATGCCGTCTATTAACTTGTCAGCAGGATCTTCGTATGACCATACCCGTATCACTTTCTTGTGATTTTCCAATTCTTCCCTTAGCCTCAGCTTACATCTGGTTGGTGAGAGCCGGCACTCCTTATTTTTCCAGTTTTTCTAATTTGTCTGATATTTCAACTTTTTAAAGGAAGCCACCTTACTTTATGGCTTCCTTGACTTTGCTGGTGAACCAGACCGTTAAATAGAGATCGTACCTTGATAAAGGTGTGGTATTATGTTCCCTGCAAGGGGCCGTTATTGTGAATTTGAAGAAGACTGGAGCAGCCGTAAGAGATTTACAGAGCTGTCCTAAGTAGACTCATACCCTTCGAAATCCATTGAAGTCAGTGGGCTTAGAGGAACCAAGGGATTGCTAAACTGTTCCACAAAATCCATCTGTAAGTACTAGATATGTGTGAAGGCTTTACAGGTAATTTGCTGTAGTCCCTTCCAGGGTCCCTCTTCCAGCTCCTTTACAGGATCACGTGGATCTATGAATCATTTCCCTTCTTCTCCTTATTGGCACCTGGGAATAAGGTGAGTTTTTACACTTTCTCCTGCAATGGAGAAAATTGTTTCTTAGGGCAATCCTAAACAGAGTTACACCTCTCTAAGCTCATTGAAGTCAGTGGGCTTAGAGGGGTGTAACCGTGCTTAGGGTTGCCCCGTTAGCCCTCTGCCAACTTCCCTTGATTACTCCTCTCATTTTTGAGAGACCTCTTTCTTTTTCTGAAGTAAACTGTGGCCATGCCGGATGCTCACAAAGAGTGTGAAGTAGCGGGTAAAATGAGACCAGTGTGTTGTCAAGCAGCGCCTGACTCTCGGTGACCCCACCCGGACCGTGGGGTTTTCCGGGCACAAGAGACCAGCGGAGGAGGCTTGCGATCGTTCTCCCCTGCACAGCAACCCTGGGATCCCTTGGTGGTCTCCCGTCCTCCAAGCACTGACCGGGGCTGACTCTGCTTAGCAGCCAAGCCCTGATGAACTGGGGCTAAGCTGGGATACTGGCTAACCAGTGTTAAGTTAGCTTGAGAGGGCCGAGGTGGGTGGGCTATTTCTCTGTGGGAGAGCAGGGAGGCCTGTCATGGAACCCCCGGAAGCCAGAGTCCCTCCGTTGCCCTTTGCCTGGCAAGAGCTTCGTGGGGGCCCTCTTGGGCCCCGTGGGGGGTGTGCCGTGGCTCAGGCCTGTGTCTTGGGGAAGGGAGCATTTAAGTGGAGGCTGGCCGAGTGCCTGTAGGAGAGTAGCAGTGACACCGAGCCTGTCTCAGGACCACTGGAAGCTCCCGCTGAGGGCTGTGCTGGGGTGGATTTCCCCCCCTTGGGCCCCTGCCTCTCTTCTTCATGGGGTTGGGTCCAGTGTTCCCTCTAAGCTGAGTTAGTGTGAGCCAGCCCACAGTTTTTTAGCCTCCAGCTCACAGATTTTTGTCTTAGCTCAGGAAGGATGGCTCCAGAGCAAACTAATTGATGCAGTAGCCAAATCGCTCGCTCACAACTTTAATGCCAGTAGCTCACAAAGTAGAATTTTTGCTCACAAGATTCCACAGCTTAGAGGGAACACTGGTTGGGTCCTTTTGCGCTCTCCGCTTTCCCTGGAGGGCGTGGATTCTGCTGTGAGAATAGAAGGCTTGGCCGGCATTGAAGGAGAGGGGCGCGTGGGAAACTAGTGACGGCCTCGCATTTGTGACCTGCTTTTGTTGCCTTGGCCTTGCAGGGTAGGTGTGTGTCCTCCTCACCATGTTCTGGAAATTCGATCTGAACACAACGTCTCACGTGGACAAGCTGCTGGACAAACCGGACGTGACGCTGCGCGAGCTGATGGATGAAGATGACCTCCTCCAGGAGTGCAAAGCGCAGAACCGCCGGCTGGTGGACTTCCTCTGCCAGCAGTCCTGCATGGAGGAGCTGGTCAGCCTCATCACGCACGAGCCGCCCCTGGACATGGACGAGAAGGTCCGCTTCAAGTAGGTGCTCCTGGCTTCTGCCGTGGTCCTGCTGGCGGGCAGCTCATGGGGTGTCCTGCCCGAAAGGGATGGCTGGAGGGCTGGCCAACTGGGGGCCGGGAGAGCCCGTCGGTTAGGGCGTCTTTCAGCGGCTGCCTCCAGTGCAGGCTGCAATAAAGTCCACAAACCAGCGGAGAATGCAGAAATAATCAGTAAAACCAGTAGAAAACAGCTTTGCCAATCGTCTCAACTCACAAGGGTCTGGCAGAACAGAACATTGTTGTCTGTCTCCAGAAAGATGCCAAAGTCAAAGCTAAGTGGGCTTCGGGGGGGGGGGGGGGGGGGGGGCGGGGGGCAGTGCCCTGACAGTAGAAGTCCCTGCTCCTAGCGAATGAATGCCACGTTAGTGTCCGCAGGTGGTGGCACATGCAGCAGAGCCTCCTCGTCTGATCTCTGAATTTGTGGCGGTGAAGGAGAAAGATGCTCCTTGAGGTATCCAAGGCCTAGAGTGTTCGTGCCTAACCAGGGCCTCGCATTGCCACCTGGCGTCAGTCACGTGCCTGTGGCCTTAAGGCAGGTCATAGCAAGCGTGTTCTTCCCGCAGCAGGCCCCTTGTAAGCTGCACCTGAAACCCAAAGAGGAGGATGGATGGATGACCCTCTGGTGGGAGCAGCTGTGGGCGGCTGGCAGCCACATGGGGAGGAGGGTCTGAAGGACATGTTTTGGTTACCATGTTTCTGTAGCACTTTCTAAGATACATTTGCAAGTCAGTTTAATACCAGTTAAATATATTGAACTTTCTAAGTGACACAGTCCACAGTCAGTACAGTAATAATACAATGAGATCACCCTTCAGTGTAAAGCTGAAATGACTGGCTGATGGAATACAAATATTTTCGCTTGTCTCCAAAATGAGTCCAAGGAAGGGGATAATCAAGTCTCTGAGCCAGGGGGGGCGTATTCCACCCCGAAGGAGCCACAACCCAGGCTAGGTGAAGCCGAGCCCCTTTGGTGAGAGAGGGTGGCCCTAACCCTGTGGCGTGTGGCTCTTGGAAGGCGGAAGCCAGCCACTTGAATCTGATGGTGATATTGGGCACCGGTCGGAACTGGTGTGTTGTTCTTGCCAGCTCAGCCGTGTTCTCAGCTTGGCAGTGGCAAAGTGTCTTGATGGTTTTCAAAGGCAGTGCCACATAAAGCATGCTCCAAAACTCCCGTCTGGGCCAAAAGGAAGTTTCAAGGCAGCCAACTTCAGTGGTCCAAAAGTGTTGATTCCATGTCCCTAAGATTGTGGGCGAGTATCACTGCTTGCTTTAAAAAATGCCGAGTCTGTGTAGACCGGTGGGTAAGAATGCAACCCATGTGAAAACGTGCTGCCTTGTGGCTTAACACCAGCTGCCGTGGGAACGAGGAGGGAAAGCGAGTCTTTATGAATGGGATGGGCCAGGGGAGTTGAGGCTGAGTGAGGGAGAGGACAGAGACTGGACTGGAGATCAGTCCTCCCGGATAAGGGGGAGGGGGCGCTCCAGGGAGAGAGGTGTGTTGGAGGAGCCACTGCCAGTATGAGGCCGTCAGGGATGGAGTCCTGACTGGTGGCCCCACCCAGCACAGACAGCTGCGGCTGTCCCAAGCACATGTGCTCCCTCTCCCTCCCTCCCTCCCTCCCTCCCTCCCTCCCGCTGCAGGCTTATTCCACAGGAATGGCCACTGGGCCCAAAAGCTGGGTTTGTGGTTTTAGCTTATGCAGACAAGTGCCTTTTCCATCTGCTGGCTTTTCCTTATGCAGCCCTGTGCTACCGTAAATTGGCTAGCCCCAGAACCACCCCAGCACTTTCGGTCATACTGAGATCTTAAGTCAAACTGCAGCTTCCCTCTCTTTGGAAAGACCAGACTGCTCCCCTAAGTTCCCCCTGTGTTGCTGCTTCCATATGGCTGTGGGGAAGGGTGGTGGAAGCATGGGCCTCCCTCGCGGATTCGTGGGAGGCAGGGCAGGCTGTGTGCCGATGGAGGGGGGGGCACATCCTGGGGGGGAG